TTTCGACCGACCGTGTGCCCGTAATGCGGTCGTGCTGGTGGTTGTGCTGGCGGCCGTGCTGGTGGTCGTGGTTGGTGGACGTGCTGTTGGTCGTGCTGGTGGTCGTGCTGCTGGCCGTTCTGGTGGAGGTGCTGGCAGTCGTGCTGGTGGTCGTGCTGGTACTTGTGCTGGTGGTCGTGCTGGGAGTGCTGGTGGTCGAGCTGGTGGTCGTGTGCTGCTGGCTGGTCGTGCTGGTGGTCGTGCTGGTGGTCGTGCTGGGCTGGTGGTCGTGCTGGTGGTCGTGCTGGCGGTTGTGCTGGTGGTCGTGCTGGTGGCTGGTCGCGTTGGTGGTTGTGCTGGTGATCGTGCTGGCGGTCGTGTTGGTGGCCGTTCTGGTGGAGGTGCTGGTGATCGTGCTGGTGGTCGTGCTGGTGGTCGTGCTGGTGGTTGTGCTGGTGGTCGTGCTGGTGGCTGGCCGTGCTGGAGGTGCTGGTGGTCGTGTTGGTGGTCGTGCTTGGTCGTGCTGGTGGCTGGCCGTGCTGGAGGTGCTGGTGGCTGGTCGTGCTGGTGGTCGTGCTGGTGGTCGTGCTGGTGGTCGTGCTGGTGCTTGTGCTGGTGGTCGTGCTGGCGGTCGTGTTGGTGGCCGTTCTGGTGGAGGTGCTGGTGGTCGTGCTGGTGATCGTGCTGGTGGTCGTGCTGGTGGTTGTGCTGGTGGTCGTGCTGGTGGCTGGGCGTGCCGGTGCTTGTGCTGGTGGTCGTGCTGGCGGTCGTGTTGGTGGCCGTTCTGGTGGAGGTGCTGGTGGTCGTGCTGGTGGTCGTGCTGGTGGTTCTGCTGGTGGTCGTGCTGGTGGCTGGCCGTGCTGGAGGTGCTGGTGGTCGTGTTGGTGGTCGTGCTGGTGGTCGTGCTCGCGGTCGTGTTGCTGGCCGTTCTGGTGGAGGTGCTGGTGGTCGTGCTGGTGGTCGTGCTGGCCCCTCCCCCTCCCCCCCTGCGCCCCCTCCCCTTATTCCGACCGACCGTGGGCCACCCCCCCCGCTTCTCCCCTGCGCCCCCTTCCCATTATTCCGACCGACCGTGGGCCACCGTGCGGCCACCCCCCCCGCGCCCCCCCCCCCTTATTCCGACCGACCGTGGGCCCCTCCTCCGCCCCCCCCCCCCCCCTCCGTTTATTCCGACCGTGGGCCCCCCCCCGCTCCCCCCTTGCGCCCCCGTCCCCTTCTTCCGCCCGACCGTGGGCCACTCCCCCCGCTCCTCTTCTGCGCCCCTCTCCCCTTATTCTGACCGACCGTGGCCCCCCCACCGCTCCCCCCCTGCGCCCCCGTCCCCTTATTCCGACCGACCGTGGGCCACCCCCCCCCGCTCCTCCCCTGCGCCCCCCTCCCCTTATTAGGGCGACGAAATCTATACATATCCACTGCTCCCTGGCCAGGCCCATCCTCAACCCCGCAGCGGTGTATACGCCACGCCCTCCTGGCTTGGCCAGGGAGAGCGCATACACAGCTCCTGGGTTCAAGATGGGCATGGTCAGGGAGCAGTGGATATGTATAGATTTCGTCGCCCGACCTTATTCCGACCGACCGTGAGCCCCTCCCGCTCCTCCCCTGCGCCTCCCTTTCCTCATTCCGACCGACCGTGGGCCCCCCCCCCCCCCGCTCCTCCTTCCTTGCGCCCCCGTCCCTTTATTCCGACCGACCGTGGGCCACCCCCCCGCTCCTCCCCTGCGCCCCCCTCCTCTTATTCCGACCGACCGTGGGCCACCCCCCGCCCCCCCCCCCTTATTCCGACCGATCGTGGCCCCCCCCCCCCGCTCCTCCCCTGCGCCCCCCTCCCGTATCCCGACCGACCATGGGCCCCGCCCCCGCTCCCCCCCTGCGCCCCCTTCCCCTTATTCCGACCGACCGTGCCCCCCCCCCCGCTCCCCCCCTGGCGCGAATGCACGAATCCTTCAAAAACTTAAAGAAAATATGTAAATATTGCCCTTTCGGGCCTTCATGGGGGACCTCTTGGAGGCCTGTTGGGCCATCTTGGACGCCTCGTGGGAGCCGTTTGGGCCCATCCAGGGCCGTCTTGGGTGCATTTTGGGCCGTCTTGGAGGCATTTTGGTGCCATGTTGGCCGTCTTGGAAACCATCTTGGAGGTACTTGGAGGCCATCTTGGCCGTTTTGGAGGCAATCTTAGCCATCTTGGAGGCCTCTGGGCCCGTGTTGAGGCCCTCTTGGGACCGTCTTGGAGGCCTCTTGGGCCGTCATGGGGCCATCTTGGGGGCCTCTTGGGCAATTTTGGGGCGATCTTGGGGGCCTCTTGGGCCGTCTTGGACCGTCGGAAAGCCGAAAAGGCGCAAATGACCAAATCCTTCCCAAACCCAAAGCAAATCAATGATTTTGGCCTCTTCGGGCCCTCCTAGACGACCTCTTGAAGGCCTCTTGGGCTGTCTTGGAGGCCTCTTTGGAGCCTCTTGGACCGTCTTGGGCCTT